ATACCAGACTACCCTATATCTAGTAAATACTAGAGCATTCGCCAAGGTACAGGATAGTTCTAAAAAATAGGTGGCGCTACACCAGTCACGTGACCTCGATGACGCAACAATAGTATTGTAACGTCTTTTATCGTCGGACACATTCTTTTGAGTTATTCAGTAAAAAGAAATTAATATTAGGAATAATATCTAGTTTTGTGCCAGGAACAACTACACAGTATTAATGTAAAAGTTAATTTTAATTTTACTCCTGGCACAAAATAAGGCAGTATTCTATCAAATAAATTCGAAGACAATGTCAGGATTTTATGCATTGGACGGATTCTTTACAATAAGTGTCTGTGACTTGTTGGCGATAAGTTTCAGCAATAAAAAAATAGCGTCCAGTCCACTTGTTTTAAAATAATAAAATAAGTCAAATTTAAATACAAATGTTCATTACGCAGTTGGTTATTACAGTTGTAACCATAGTTTTAAATAATTGTTACGACAGTGGAAGTCACGTGAAACTAGAAGGATCATGTCTTTTCGTGGCAACTCTAGTCTTCTCTACGCGCCCGCTATTTTATATATATATATATATATATAAGTCAGCAAATGAAGTAATGGCATAAAAGATAATTGCAGGCAGGTAGAGATAGAGACGGACAATTGAGTCAAGCGCGGTAGTAAGTAAAGTGCGTGAATCGTTCGTTGTGAATTATAGCGTGTGTTTAAGATAATGACTGTGGAAATTAAGTGTATTGCAAAGTTGAACTGAGAAAGAATAAAATAGTTTTATTTAAGAAAAGACTTGTATCGCTGAAGTTTCTCGGAAAGAATTTCTACGAAAAATTAACAAACGAACAGAGACGTTACATACTTGTCTCATTTTCGTCAAAGTCCACACAGGCTGGTTCAATTACTTTAGAACACGGTTTGATAAAAAGAATTATTCTTCCTGCTCTGTTATTACTCTGAGCTTTAAATAATTGTTTCATTTTCGTCAAAGTCCACACATACTGGTTCAATTACTTTATTGATAAGATGAATTATTCTTCTTTGCTCTGTTTTACATTACATTTTGTGATAATTTCACTTTAAAAATCACCACTATATGCTCTTTAGGATTCAACTCACAATCATGCAGTGTTGATATTGTTACGTATTAGAATTTCGAATAGTCGGTATTTTAGTCAATTTACGATATTTGCCAACAAGATTGATACACACCGTCTTCGTTTTTAACACAGATACGTTTTAATATACACAAACAGTACAATTTACAATAACAATTATTACAAACAATGATTTATAAAGAGAAGTTTCGCAAACTTATAAACGATGTAAGGTTTTCTTTCTAGTCTGAAACCTCCTTGATATCTTATTGAGGGTTCACAATGAGCGAGTTAATTACGAGTTGATGTAGATACGACCCGCTGGGAAGCTAGCTAGCTTTGTCCTTGGCCACACACACACAATTAATTTATATGTCTTCGTAAAATTACTAATATCCGATGAGAATCCACTGAAGTTAAATGATTTGTAACGTTCGAAATTCATAAATATTCCTGGTCAGATATCTTAAGTTTTCCGATTGATAAGCGTTATAACAATCACAGTTATAGCTTTCGAAGTTTTATAGTACACTGATTATAGCGAACTAATAATAGACACTCTTTTTGGCGCGTCGCGTTAGTTGTATTTATAGACGTGGGAACGTTTTCTAGAAAATTCAGTCTTATGTAACAGCTCCCAGTGGCACAGCGGTATGTCTGTGGACTTACAACACTAGAAACCGGGTTTCGATACCACTGGTGGGCAGAGCACAGAGAGCCCATTGTGTAGCTTTGTGCTCAACTTCAAAACAACTTGCATGGCCAGGTGGTTAGGGCACTCGACTCGTAATCTGCGGGTCGCGGGTTCGAATCCCCGTCACACCAAACATGCTCGTCCTTTCAGCCGTGGGGGCGTTATAATGTGTCGGTCAATCCCACTATTCGTTGGTAAAGGAGTAGCCCAAGAGTTGGCTGTGGGTGGTGATGACTAGCTGCCTTCCCTCTAGTCTTACACTGCTAAATTAGGGACGGCTAGCGCAGATAGCCCTCGTGTAGCTTTGCGCGAAATTCAAAACAAACAAACAAACAATCAAAACAACTTACGTAACAATACTTATTAAAGCGTTTACGTACACACGTATACTTTTTATTCTTACTCTCGAGAATCTTTTACAACTTTGGAGATTGGGTGGGAGTTTCACAATACCTCTCTAACAGTATAAGCTATGTATGTTTCTGAATGCAAACTTAAGCTAAACAACGTTCATATTAAAATAAATACATAACAATAAATCTCTCAAATTAAGTGTTCAACGTGTATTTGTACCCCGAGAGAGGTCTAGAACGTTCCACACACAACTTGTATTATGATGCAATAATACTCAATTAAAACAACGAGAAAAAATCGGAAGGTTCTAGTAACATGACGCAACAATATAACAAATACCAGTTCATTACTATTGAACTACACAAAGTATGATTCATAAACAGTTACGTAAATAAACTTGCGATAAACTATCGCTTCTAAAAATAACTAAATTTAATACTCGCGCTACATGAGCTATCCAAATATTTTTTTCTGAAGTAATGCCTCCTAGTGTCTAAGCGGTAAGCCTGAAGGCTCACACCGCTAAAAACCAGGTTTCGATACCCGTGGTGGGCACGGCACAGATAGTCCATTGTATAGTTTTGTGCTAAATTACAAACAATTAATATGCACACTCATCACGTGACGTAAGAACTATTACTTGCTAAAAACAATACACCGTCTAAATTGAAAAACAGTGTACAGTGATACCAAAATTTAAATGTTTTACGTTAAAAAGATATATAAGCTATATTTTTTACAAGATCAAATAAGTGAAAATTGATGGTGTAATAACATTTTAAGAAAAATATATTAATTTATTTCATGTAAATATATGATAATACTATGATAATTACACCAGAGGGCTCACTTTCCTCGAGGTCAGGTCAATGTGAAGAGGTTTACAAAATTAATTCATCAAGTAAAGTAAAAAATATATATTATTTTATAAGTTTTCGAAATATTACAGTTTACGATGACGTCGGGTGTAATTTCTCGTCTTGTTGGAAGGAAATATGCCGAATTAGCTAAAAGTTGGTAGGTAGTAATGATAGAAGTTTTAACAGGAGTACGGTATTTTTGAAATTGAAATATTGCATTTTTTTGTCTAAACTGTAAATTAAACTTTGGGTTATTGTGATTTATCATTCTCAACTAACAGTAACACTGTGTTTGAAACTGTTTAGATAGCTTGTTAATTCTGTTCTGATACAAGCTAGGCCTATGCACTAATATTAATAATATTCCTAATACACGATAACCGGGAGTGAGAGTAATCTGTAAAATCTAGTTAACTTGGACTACATAAAAATTTCATAACTAGCCTGAGTAACTAGCTACTCAAAGAATATAATTCATATACCTATAAAATATAGACGGTTTGTAACTCGTTTTCATTTTTAAAAATATATTCTACTCCTAGTTATAGGAAGTTGTTTGCAAGTTCAGAAATAAGTACTTTTTCAACTGCAAATTTAGTTTAGTTTTTTTTTCTTTTAAAAATAAAGTAGACATCAACGTGATTATTATGTATGACTATGCTGCAACATGTAAACTTATTCTACTCTCTAGTGTAGTACATAATAACTGAGTTTTGCTTTTAATAAGAGTAAAAGTTTTGCAAACTTTTGTTATTGTAAGGATTTTTGGTATGTCCTCTTATTGTGGTGATCAATTGATAGTATTGATGCATCATATTTTTTCATTTATTTTAATACTAAGAGTGGTAGGAGAAGGGGTCATAAATATAAATTCTGATCGGGAAGGAGTCATCTTCAACTTAGTGTTACTTTAGTAATGGGATTGTTAGCATTTAGATTGAGTTATCTTCAGAGGTGGTGGATGCAGTAAATTTAAAGTAATTTAATCTCAGGCTTGATAAATATTTAAATGATAAGTTCTGACTTTGATGGTGTTTTTATTTTTTTAAGTTTAGTGGATAGGATAATCATTGGACTAACAGGTCCTTGTCCTTAAATGTTATATTACAGAATGTTGTGGGCCAGCATGGCTAGGTGGTTAGGGAGCTCGACTTGCAATCTGCGGGTCGCGGGTTTGAATCCATGTCACGCCAAACATGCTTGCCCTTTCAGCCATGGAGGAGGGGGGTATTATAATGTGACGGTCAATCCCACTATTCGTTGGTAAAAGAGTAACCCAAGAGTTGGCAGTGGGTGGTGATGACTAGCTGCCTTCCCTCTAGTTTTACAATGCTAAATTAGGGACGGCTAGTGCAGATAGCCCTTCTGTAGCTTTGCATGAAAATTCAAAACAAACAAATACAGAATGTTATTGTGGTTATTGGTTTGGGTGCCAAATATATTCAGTTTTATAACATTTATTACACATGAAATATTTTAAAGTTAAAAGGTAATCATAGTAACATTATATTATATATGAGTATGATATTCAAGTATACTAAAGAATTGACAGATAATTTTAAAAGTTGTTACACTGGTTTTTGAATATGGAATAAATGAGTGTCAAAACATACAGAAGGTTCATAGTCGTACAAACACTAATAGGGCAGAAGAAGATTGTGTGGCTGATCTAAATTCTTCTTTGTTCTGCCAAACTAGCTGAAAATTAATGCATTACTTCCAAGTTCTTGCATTGAAACTGAAAGTTTATTCTTTAATGTATAAGTAGGAAAACTGCATTTTTAATTTCAAAAAATCCACTAAGCTTTAATGAATAAATAACATATTGATAAAATGGAGGATGCTCATGCCTCCTGAAATATCAAGACACCAGGAAAGCTATTGTTAAAGTAGGGAATAGGATTATATTTTTTAAGTTTAAACATTAATTATTACTAATTTTTTTTATGCTTACATGAACTACAAAAGATAATATTGATCCTATAACAGAGATTGGTAATAACCTTATTATGGTGGAAATGAACGTGACTAAACTAAGTGTGAAACAACTTTTTTTTAACTACTTTTTACTAATGTTGGGAAGGAAAAGATATCTGAACAACTTTCTTATTATAGGTGAAGAGCTTTCTGTAAGTTTGCATATTGTTACACAGCAATTTTTCAAAAAAAACATAGGACATTTTTTAGAGTAAATCTGTTCTGATCGTTTAAAAAATTTAACAAAAATTTGAAAAGTTACTTTATGGAATGATGATTAATATACATTTCATGGCCATCAAGTATTGAAATTCACATTTGACTGCAATTGATGTTTTTAATAGCTTTCATTTTAACTTCTGTTATAGACTTCAAGTCACAGGTGTGTAAAACTCTTGTTTACTAGTCATTCATTTCCCAAAAGTTTTTTTTTTTAAATATCATAACTCATCAGCAAGTAAGTCCTATACCACAAATACAGTTGGACATCTTCATTGAAATCCATCATGAAACTATGCACCATTTACCACTGGTATACTTACAAGTTCTATTTCCATTCAGAAACCTTTTTGTAAACCTGAAATGTGAATAGAATCTCAAGTTTTTCCTCCTTTCTGCATTTAACACTTACCATTGGTTAATAGGTTTCTTAAATACATAATATATACACATGTAGCTATAGTTTTCTACTGTGAAGTTTGCTACAATGAACCTTTCATTTTTCTTTCTTTGTCATACTAAACATAACTCTATCATTAAGTTCCCTCTTTTTCATCCGTTCTTTAAATACCCATATTTATTATTTTTTCACCTCCCCACTTCACTAAATCTTACAAGCTAACAAACTACTTCATGTCCCTTTGCCCACAATCTCTTTGCTCTAAAGAGTTTCATAGCATTTTTGTTTATTTTAGCCTTAAAGTTTAATTCTACACACTTCTTGTGTGAGATTATGAATAATGCAAAATTTTGAAAAATGAAGCTACTACTTGTATCCTTGTTGTACTCATTAAATAAATTTACGTAATATGCATATTCTAAAGGCAAAATGTTTTTTTTGTAACACTTGAGAAAGAAAAAACTGTCTCCCTGACCTATCTCATTTAGCATTAATTACATTATTACATTCAGTTATTATTAGGTGATTGTAATTATCATAAATTATGTTTTCAGATGCTTAATTTTTTTTGTACTAGGTCTAAAACTGGAGTTCTTTTTGGTACAACAGGAACATTAGGGATTTTATATTTTACTGACTGGAAACTAGTTTTACAGTATCTTCCCTTTTACAACACAAAGTTCAGAGAAGACTCTCCGTAGTTCAGTTATTAGATGTAAAAACACAAGTAAATAAAAAAAGGTATGTGTTAATTGTAAGGATGCTTTCATAAAATACAGTACAGATGTTTCATATTAGGTATCGTATTATTGTCTTTTGCATTTAAGTCTTGAAAAAATTGGTAAGTACCAGAGTAACATTTGGCATATTTTAATGTTGTTATTTGATTGAGCTAATATGATAACTCCAGGGTTCTAATTTTTTTAATCAGTCACTGTTGTATGGCTTTAATAGTCTGTTTCTCGTGCATATTCCTATTTAATTAAGAGTAACTATTCCCTCACAGCTAGTCACAGAGAGGGAAGAGTAATTTAGTTGTTGTGTATTATTATCAGCTTTAATGCTACTTCTACTTCAGATTTTAATTTTAGAACTAAGTCAAAGGTGAAGCTTTCAATTTGAGGCTAAATTTATAACAAGGTGTATTCCTGTTGCTGCTGTGTCACTATTTCAATAAATCCTCTCCCATTCAGTTGAAAGCTTTTATTATTTATTGGTAACTATGATCAAGTTGAAATAACTAATATTAGTACATTACAGGAATATTTGCAAATTCTGCCTTTGACAATTATTTTTAAAATAAGAAAGCTTATTTTGTTAACTTACTGGTACCTCAAATTACAGAATCTTGACGTACATGTAATTGAATCCAAAACGTCTAAATTACAGTTATAAAAAAAATATAACTTTATAAGCATGGTATTTTTTTATGTGTTAGTTAATTGTTATTTTTACCCATATTACTTGATTTTGAGCATACATACATGATTTTTTAAGCTACACATTAAAAGTCTCTTTTTACAATACATGTGTCTTAGTTTTCTATTTGGACGTAAAATAATTATTTTTCTTGTTTTATAAAAAATTAGAGATAACACTCATGGAAATTTTTATTCGAATTACATTTTTTATGACTTTTCATATGTTATTGGTTGATCAGTTTTACCTTGCTTTCTGTGAAATACATATATATATATATATAACTTTATGTTTCTTTCCTGATTAAATTCTAATCTTACAGCAAGTTCATCGTGTGGATTTTTCAGAACTTTAAAACTTATAAATGAAAAGTGTAAGTCATTATAAAACCCAAACCTCAGACTGCGTAAATATTCCTGAATACATCATGATGCATTTATTTTTTCTTTTGGTTTAGGGTTATGGCTGCAATGAAATGGAATATGATCATATTTTATTCATCACAAGTAGATGCTGAGTGAATTACTGTAACTGTCTTGCAACATTATAATTAACTAGTGTATACATTTTCAAGAGAATAGCAGTCTCGTTCACGATTGTATTAGAAAGAAAAGAGAATAAATACTGAAATGTACAACTTATAAAATATATGTTTTTGATGGTACCTGTTTATTGGATATTTCATATTCATGACTTTTAGCCACAAAATGCACACATACTTCTGCATGTAAAATTGTATTAATTTGTTTCAGTTTTTTAAATTGGTGATTATAAATACAGAATCATGTACTTACATGTAATGTACTACATACTGAATTTCTCTTGATTTACTCAAAGTAAAGTTTGTGCTTCACACTTCTAGTTTAAAACCTTTTGTTTTGTGCTGTATGGCCTATATTTTTTATGGGTGCATTGTGCCACAGAAACTGTATATACTTTCTCTATATTCCTACTACACAGATGAATATAATGCATCACAAGATCCCCAAGTTTGCTAAAGGTTTTATGTTATGTAGATCACACGATAAAAGTTGTGTCTACACGCAACACATGGTGTCCTTTCGTAGAAGTATTGTATCTACATCTTGCTGGGTAACTAGCAGTGTTGACTTGGATGTGCAGTTGAACATTTTGTTATCACCTTATTAACATCCAGTTAATACAAAGATAGTATTTCTTTACACACTTAGCCTGATAGTATGCACGGTTCATCCTTGATACTTTTCTCAACTCCCAGTATGTTTAACTATTATTGCTCTAATCTGAAATACAGGAGTGCCAGCATGTTAGCCTGATAATGTACAAAGTTGATCTTAACATTTTTTTACTCTCCCTGTATGTTTAATTTGCAGTTATAACTGTAACATGTAATAAAGTGGTGTAAGAATGTTAGCCTGATAGTTTGCAAACTTTTTTTGTTTTTTATCTCTAAGCATTTAACTTACTATTTTAGCTGTAAAGTAAAACCATCATAAACTCTTTGGCAAAACTTTGATATGCTCTTTACCATTTTGTAAAACTTTAATCCTGGCAAAGTGATGATAAATTATCCAAAACTTTTGCAGACAATTAAAAGTAGACATACGTTTTTTCCAGCATGTCAACATAGCTCTATTTGTCACATGCCAGATAGCACTGAACAGTTGACCTTCCATTCAGTGATGAGCTGTAGGAAAAAAACTGTGAACATTGCTACTGTAGATCTAAATCTGTGTAAATTATGTTGTTTAAAGGTTCCAAGAGAGGTTAGTTTGGACTGCTCTGTTCTTGTCTTATTTCTCTGTATAAGCTGTTTAACCTTTTCTTTATTACTGGTAACTAGTTATGCAGTAGCCTGTTTTTTCCTTCTAGAATCATGCCTTGTCTTGCTTTACCTATATAAAACCATGTTTATCCCCTTTTTTCAAAATACTAAGAATTTGTGCTTTGTACGCTTTTATAATAATGGAATAGGGGAACTTTGCATTGGAAAATCATGTAATGTAACTTATGCAAAGGATTTATGTGCTTTAGCTTAATCCTTAAATGACTTGAACTTGGTAGAATTTTATGTGATACACAAGAGTCAGCTTGTTACTTATCAAGTGGAAATAAGTAATTACAAATACAAAATTAGTGACAAAATTTTTATATTTCCAACAGATGAATAATTTATTTTCAAATGACATCAAACACTTTGATTACATAACACTATATATAACAAATAAGTATGTGACAGCATCAAACTTACAAATAGCATGACCAGAGATTTTTTTTTAAATGTGAGAAAATTAATCCTATGAGTTCTGAATATATATTAATCTTTTGAAGTCATAAAATACTTAAAATAATAGGGTTGCTGACAGAAATTAATGGATTTTACAGCATCTACAAAGGAGCTGACTAATTTAGGATACTGTTAATCTAACATATGTATTTAACTAAAGCTTTTTTTTTCTTCTGCACAGATTTTCATGATGAATAAAAAAAAAAATCAAGTTTTGTTATACACTAAACATTCCTGTTTTGGCTCACTTCCTTAATCACAGCAGTAACTTAAAAGTGAAGCATTTTAAACTTTCCAAAGGTTATATATTTGTGTCTTTTTAATTTTTCCAGAAGATGCATTAATACAAAAAAATACTTTTTTATCATTACACTTAAAAACTGAATTCTTTTTTTTCAGTGCACCAGGTTCAAATTCTTAAAAAAAGTTTACATATATTGGCTTAGTTAAAGTTTCATCCAAAAAGTTATCCTGTAAAGTAAAAAAACTAAAAATAAAGTACTTGCCTAATGAGCTTTTCAAATACTAAAGTGAACTATGATCCATATATAAAATAAAAAAAGTACAATACTGAACCAAATATAACTTTATTCTATGTACCAAAATACAAAATGTAGTTGATCTCTGATTTTTACAGAAACCTCAGTTACACTTGGAGTTAGGATTAAGTTTGGTAAATGATTTCTGTTCTTCATTTTAATTAAACTTTGTTATAATGTCAGCTGAATTTGATCATTTCATTATGAAGGATTACCTCAAGTGTTTCTATATTAAATATTTAGTTATATATGTTTACATAATTCATAGCAGTGTAGCTTTGTCGAGTTATGTTCACACTATATTAAAAACAATCCAGTACAAAATATATGTACATTAATGTTTATCAAAGTATTTTGAAACTGATGTCAAAATTTAAAATGCCCCACAATTTATAGTTTTATAATATCACTTTTTTTTTCCGGGTAACTGTTATTACAAAATACACACGTGTGTGTGTGTTGCACATGATGGGATGGGTAATTTGTTAATAATCATGCAGAGTAATTAACAATAAAATATCAGGTGTAGAACAATATTCATAGGAAATGAAATGGTCAGTGTAACTGTATCCATACGTGTAATTTCTTAAAGAATTTTAAAATATCCTTTCTTCATACAGTTCATTATCAAATATTATACTACTGAATAATATTAACGACTATATCATGGGGTTTAAACATCCACAGTCTATACTTATTCTGGTCCATAATTTTTACTGGTGAATTTCCCTCATTAAAGGATTTTGCAAAGTATCGAGATAAAGCACATCTAGTACAAAAAGGTTTTGTACTTGCACCTCATTCTGTGTGGTTAGGCTAATAATAATGACATATTTTTGATATAAGCGGCCCGGCATGGCCAGGTGGTTAGGGTGCTCGACTCGCAGTCTGCGGGTTCGATTCCCCTTCACACCAAACATGCTCGCCTTTTCAGCCGTGGGGGGCATTATAATGTGACGGTCAATCCCACTATTCGTTCGTAAAAGAGCAACCCAAGAG